TATTAAGCCGGAGAACGTGATGATGAATAGAGACGGCACCCCGGTCCTCATGGACTTCGGGAGCGTGGCCGCGGCCGAGCGCCGCGTACGGGGCCGCACCGAAGCCCTGGCCGCCCAGGACGAGGCGGCCGTGCACTCCACCATGCCCTACCGCGCGCCCGAGCTCTTCGACGTCGCCAGCGACGCATGCCTGGACCAGAGGACCGACGTCTGGAGCCTGGGCTGCCTGCTCTACGCGCTGAGGTACGGGTTCAGCCCGTTCGAGTGCGAGTTTGTCGGAGGAGGGCCGGGGGCAGGGGGCGTGAGAGTGGTGGAGTGCTCCTTTCTTCGAGTGATCGGGCAGGTTGCGTTCCCTCCGTCGGACGTCGACGGGGGGCAGCGGCGACGGGGGGGGGGGGGAGAGGCGGCGTCCCCGGGTTTCCGGGAGCTGGTGATGTTCGCTCTCCAGCAGGACCCGTTGAAACGGCCCTTCGTCGGGCAGGTGTTGGAGCGGACGCTTGCCCTGGCGGGTGTAGAGGTAAGAGATTGGCAAACGCAGCTTGTCCCGTAGGCAACCGTTCTAATCCTCTAGTTCTCGTTCTCTGGTGCCCGTTATCATTCTGCGAAACGATGTGTAACGACAACGGATTTGTCATGAACAACGCGGTAAGCAAAGGCGGACAACCATCTCCTAGTCTATACTCAATCTGACGCTTGCCCTGGCGGTCGTGGAGGTAAGATAAACGGGGTCAGCGAGCGGAGAACGGCAGGGTCTTGCATTTTTTTGTGTACCAGCAGCTGCGGGTGGAGGCCGGGAGAGAACGGAGTTGGTACGCTCCGGGTTGTGGAGGTTTTGTGTGTATCGTGGCATGGTCGTCCTCCTTTGTTTTTTTAAATGGAACCTGTCGCAAGACTGGCAGGCAGGCACATGCACACAGATACAGACGGGCACGTGCCGGGAGGATGCCGTTCGCACAGCGGATCGGCGGGTGTTGTTGTTTTCAATGGATGATCGTCGTGATTTCGGAAACGGCGACGAGATGATACATCCATCAATATCGGAAAGGAGGGTACAACAAAGACGGCTGGGAAGGGTGTACATATTGGTCCGACGTCGGCGTGTGTCCGGTCATGCAGACTGCGAAGCATGCATTCTCCGAAGAATAGCGCGGGTGATGGCAGCTGTCCTACTGCCCACGCTGGATATAACCTCCCACCACAGTTGGCGTACCATGTCTTTGCATAGGAACAGTCGTGCCCTGTGTCGAGACGGGTGCGTAGGTGATTTTGTGCCTGCAACTACCGCCGACCAAAAGTATCTGTGCCAATAAAATGGAGTGCTTCACAACTAATGGGTCATCCCATCCACGCGCGCGCTTTCTTTGACTTTGTCCGACATGTCTCTGTTGTTTTTTGGGGGGGGACAGAGCCGACCAGATCACGTGTCGATTGACATGACCAGGGCGGGTTAGCTGAATGGAGACGTACAAACTGTGCGCCTGCGTCACGGAATGACTGCTTTCCTTCAAAATGGGTCCACAATAGGTGGATGCTTACAATAAGCGCACAGGACGTCGTTGGGGAGTTTTTGCGTGATACATTGGGCTCCGGCTGTTTGCCGCCGTACGCCCAGCTGGTGTATGCTGCCGTATCCCGCCCCCCCCGGGATGAAGGCTGAAGCCCTTTAGGTTTTGGAGAACGATTGCCTTGAGATTCGAAGCTGTCATGCTGACGAGATTCGGTCGGCATCCTCCGCTCGCTTTTAAACCGTTGCATGAATGGTTTTCTAGGTTTCATATAGAGTATGTCTCAGCTGTGGTTGCTACGGTTGAATGAGGAAACCGTGCACACATTATTCACTATCCAGATACCCCAAGGTGCGACATCGTCGAGCTTTCGTGGTGTTCGTGGTTGTTGCCATCTAGACGCTTGCCAGTCCCCCGTTTGCTGTCCGAAAGAGGACCAATCCGGGTGATATTCCAGTCATCTAGCCGCCTGTAACCCTTGGGCTCTTCGAGGCTGTTGACGAAGGCGGACCGGCAGCCCCACGTTATTCAGGGGCACCAGCGAAGGAACGCTGCCTCCGTGGTGGCGGTTTAGTGAACGGGACGTGTCGGCATGCCCTCGAGCTAGTCCCTCTTCTGTTTCTCGCGATCTGAACAGTCAGCCCCAGTACAGTGCGCGAGCGGTCGTGGGGGAGGGTGGTCACCGTGGAGTGCATGCAAGCAGAAGAGGGACGGTGTGCGGTTTAAAAAGGCGCGCAATGCCATGCGATCAAGGTCGGCGATCGCCCTTCTTTCCCGCGCGGGTTGTTTGTGTCGGGATTCTGACCTACAGCAACCTGTCGTCTTGTTGTTATCTTCTTATCTTCACACTAAACAACCGCTTTGACCTCTGTATCCAGCACGTTCTTCTTCGTTTTCTTTGAGGCAAAGATCCAAGCTTAGGTCGCAACAAAGGTAGGTAAGATCTATGCACGTGCTCCGAGTCAAGCGGATATTTCGTTTCGGTGTTGTCTCACCCTTGATGTGCACCAGTTCTCCGCTGGAACGCCCTCTCCTCACGCAGCAAACTTGCAACGCTGCTGCCGCCTTTACCACCTCCACCGTGAAAACCGGCCAAGCCTGACGAAACGCTGCCGCCGCCGCCGCCGCCACCACCACCGTAGTCGGCATCACAAAAAATCCCACCGCCTCTTTGACCGCCGGAGTTGGCAGCCCCCGCCGTCTTGAGGGAATATCGAGTGCCCTCAGCGCGACGTTCTTGATCGTGACGCCCTCCCACCCCGCTGGTCTTCTTGGGGAAGTAGTGAGTGGTCTCCTTTGTGGAGTGGCTCGAGGAGGGGAACATGGTGTTGCGCGGCCGACCGGGGAGCGACGCGGTGGAGGCAGTGGAGGGACCAGACCAGAGAGACGATGCGGCAGTGGTTGCTGATGCCCGCGCGCCGAAGTCAAACACGCCTCTCTCCGAGAGAGACCCAGCGCCGTCAAAGTGGGCGGACGAGGGAGCCGCAAAGTCCCTGCTGTCGCACAACCCGGCTACTGACCAGGGTCCTTGTCCTTCTGCCACCCGATCATTGACCGAACGGCGATCGCGCCTTCCGCCGCCGCCGCCGCCGCCGCCATAAGCCGGTCTGTGGTTAGCTGTAGCGATAGCGGTGCCGTCCACCCTCCCACCCCAGCTCCCATCCCCTCCGAGACCGCGTCTGTCCCCGACCGCAGTTGTCGTCGTCTCAAGGCGAGCGGCGGTCAGGCGGCCCCACTCGACCAGCCCGGGGAGAGAGGTATACCCGTTGCAGAGGCGTTGGATCGTCCGGCTGACTCGTTCGAACGCGCGCATGCCGTGTGGAAGAGAGCGCTCCAACTCAGCCTCTACCTACACAAGCAGGTGATCGCGGGTGGTAGTGACAACAACGGTAGTCGAGAGGGTTGAGTTTTTTGGCGAGCTACTGGAAAGCAAGAAGGCCAAGATTCAAAAACATGCCAATGTTAGGCGCCCATATTATAAGCTATCCCGGACGTATTCAAGACGTGTAGCTGTTGAGTTGTGACATTCCCGGTGACCTTTGCCAAGAGAAAGGGGAGCGGGGACGGCAGCAAACGCTCGCTGCCTTGGATAGGCTTGAACAGCACAGACTGAAGTGTTGAGTAGATTCGCGAGTCGTTCGCCATGTCGTCAAACTAACGGTGTAGACTAGTCACCGTGCCCTCTTGGTGTGTGCTATCCCACCCTTTCCCAGGTCGAAATGCGTTTGCCACAACAGTCTTCCAATTTGAGTAGGGTCGACTTGTTTTCAACATAAAATATACCGCTTTTGTGTAGGTACCATTTACAGGCTTTGCATCATGATCGTTATAACAACCGGAGGGTTGCATAATACGTCGAAACATATGGCGTTAGGAGTTACCAGGCGACAACATCTCTTCCACATTCTCGTCTTCAAGATGGAAACAAGTTCAGTCGGGGTGTCGGCGTGCTCTGCGATAGTTACAAAAACGTGAAAAAGTTCGTCACGCATCACAATTGTCGAGGAGCCGGGCGGTGGGGGATCACACGCTTGAAAGCTCACGAGGTCCGTGAGCGTGTGCTACTGTAACCGAACTGTAGGTTACGATTACTACATACCGCCGTGCGGAATGCCGGCGCGGCGGGTCACAGATAAAACAACTCACCGTCTTTCTTCTGGCGTCGACAATCCCCCGTTCCTTTACCAAGCGCCCCTTGAGGTGAGCCACGGCTTGCTGCTCCTTCTGGCCCATGCGGCTCACCTGGTGTTTCGAGTTGTCGTCCAAAAAAGAACAACCGGAAAAAATAGAGCACCGTTACGGACGGTGGTGGAGGAGTGGGGAACGGGGGCGGTAGGGGTTAAGGGACGACGTAACGGTATCGTTTGCGCTCGTTGTGCGGCTACCACTGACAATACTTGATATTGTATTACGCGTGGTGTCGATTGCTGAAAGACTCCACCCTGTTGGCGAAGCTGGTTGGTTGACTCCGGTTCTTTCAAGACCATAAACGAGGACACCTTCTGAAGGTTAGGAAGACCGAAGTTCCGTTGGCGTATTTGGCGACGAGGGCTTACTGATGAGTTTTGTCTACAACCCGCCGGGAGAACCGTATCGTTTCTGCCAGCACAATTGTTTCGCAGCGTTGAGCTTCGCAGATGACGGTGGGGGACAACAGTTGACATCTCCCCCAAATAGAATAGCAAGGATGTGTGCATAGACGCTATCGACATGCTAGGCGCTGGTTTGTCAAAAGCGAAGTTGTTGTTTCTTCCGCGACGACGGTGTTCACGTCAATTCCACCCCATTCCAACAAGATCAGTGGGAGCGAAGAAACCTGCAAGCCTCCACTGGCGGCGCTCAAAAGGCCCACCCACCTCCACTGTCTTGCTACCGGCGTCTGTCTCCAGCAGCCCAATCTTGAGCCCAATTTCCAGACTCTTGAGACCCAAGCCGTGGACCAGCTGCTTGTCTGTGTCCCTCTGACGGAGGAGCCCCTCGAGCACCTCGATGGCGCCGCCCTCCACATGCGAAGACTGCTGTGCAAGTTCGAGCTGCCGCTCGAGGTACCTCACCTGGGGGGACAAACCGTACAAGGTTCATTTGTCGTCGGAGGACCCCAACGCAAGCGGTAGACGTGCAGACTGAATAATACAGTGCCGGAGCGTGTTTCGGATGGGCGTTCCTCGGCTTAGTACTTTGGTGCGGAAGGACGTAGGCAATACGATAGGATGCCAGCTTCGGTGGAAACCGTTTCGTCAAAAGGGGAAACGCACTTTTCACGGTTGTCGCTTCTTCGGAGATGTACTACAAACTATTTACCTAACAGGTGGGCAGATAGAGGATTGGCTGTGTTGCCAGGTGCCACCGTACAGCCATAAACAAAGCTGAAGAGCACACCTCCAACACCGCAACCGGTTTTTCCCCTATGTACGGTCGATCTACAAACCTCATACAAGCCATATCAAACGACGATCAACACGGTGGAACATGCAACGCGACAATCAAGTTGCACCTGGTCATTGAGCCCGCGCTGCCTCTTCCTCAACGCTCGAATGACGTCTTCGGCGTCCGCGCTATAGTAGTCCGCCTTGAAATTCCGCAGGTCGCGCTTGAGTTCGCGCTGTTCTTCGGTGAGGATCACAATCTCTCGTTCCCTTTACGGGGAGAAAGACGGAGGAAGGGGCGCGGAGGAAAACCATGGTACACTTTAGATCGCACACGTGCACATGGCGTTTCGGGTCTACCGCGCCAGAAGATCTACTGTAGTCGACGACTACCGTTGTGCTGGCTGTCGGGGTGTTATGATGTGCTGTAACAGGGAAGAAGAGAATGGCTGAACCGGGCATTCCTCTCATTTTGGGTGTGGTGCCTGCGGAAAACACGCTTGACCTGTAATCACAGGCAGTCCAGTTCAACCGGGGCGTCAAGCGCGACGTTGAGACTGCCTGTCGGCGACTGTAGCTGTGAGATGCACTGAAGCAACACGAACGTGCATGCCTTCACGACACGAAAATCTGGCCTGTTCAGCAGGTTCGACTCGGCTTGCGGCTCACTTGAGGGCAACCTGCCGACCGAAGCCACCCTTCTGCGCCTCCATTGTCTTGCTAATGAAGTCTGGCAGAGACTCCGCCCACAAGGTGTCTTCCCGAAGCGCGTTAACAATTCTCGCTGACGCCGACGTGTCGACCACCCCTGCGCCCCCGCTGCCGCCTGTCGAAGCTCCCCCCGTTGGCGCCGCCGTTTGAGTCCCCCAGTCGCTTCCGCTGTCGCTGCTTCCCCCGCCGGCACCACCGCCGGACGCCCACGGCATCCGACCAGCTTCCGCTTCCGTGCCACCGTTCCCACGTCCGCCGACATCGACCTTGATCCCTGCCGAAAACGATCTAACCCCCGCCGTGGCGGCACGGGCCGCCGAAAGAGCCTCCCGCGGGTTCGTCGGCGGACCCTGAAAGACGGGCGGTTCCTCCGTCGGAGGAACGAGAAGCTCGCCTTTGGGTTTTCGCTGGGATTTGGTGAAGCCCGAAAGAATGGTCCGGGCCATGGTGCCCGACTCTGACACCGTTTTTGCCATATCTCGGAACTTCGAACTACTGCCACTACTAGTGGTAGATCCAGAGGTCTCTCTGGTCTCCGTTGTTGCCTCCGCCTCCAGTGGTGTTTGTTGCGGCTGTGGTTGTGGCATCAGCAGCAGCGGGGGTGGTTCAAAGCGTTGGCCGCTGGCGGCCGCGGGCTTGTCGTTGTGGTTGCTGGCGGCGGCGGTGTCTCCGTTGCTGCGTCCGTCGTCCATTATGACGTTCGAGAGACCGCCGCCGCAATAGCTGACGGCGGTAGAGCAGCGACTGGCCGCCGCCATGCCGGTGCTCAGCTTGTACTCGGAGGTGGCGCAGCGCACGCCCGCGTCCTCCCCGCTGCAGACCATCTGCACGAGAGTCGACGGAGGCCCCCTCGCCGCCTTCGCCCGGGGGTCACGCTCCCACCACGATGGTCCCCCCGTCGTGGGCGACGCCTCCTCGCCCGTGGAAGAAGCCGGAGCCGCGGCGGCGGCGGCGGCGGCGGCGGGCGGCTCCGGCTGGTGCTGGCAGAGCTCCAGCACGACGCACACAGTCTTGGTCAGGGCTGCTCGCAGGTCGGCGACGGCTTGCCTCTCCAGCGCCAGCGACGCCAGCGGGTACCCCGCCCGGAGGCGGGCCTCTTCCCTCTCCCGCTCGAGGCGTTCCGCTAGGTCTGCCTGAGCGATTAGGTCGAGACCCTTGGCTTTCTTGATGGCGCGCGGTTGCGGCGTTGTTGGCGGGTGCTTGGGCTGAGGCGGCTGGGGTGGTGGCGCTTTGGGAGCGGGTGTTGAAGATGGGGTTGCAACAGCTGGTGCTGGAGCTGGTGTTGGCGCTGGTGTTGGGGCTGGTGTTGGAGCTGGTGGCAGTGCTGGACTTGGAGCTGGTGCTAGAGCAGGGATTGGAGCTGGGGTTGGAGCTGGACTTGGAGCTTGGGTTGGAGCTGGGGTTGGATCCGGGGTTGGATCTGGGGTTGGAGCAGGTATGGTGGCTGACAGTACTAGTGCCGGTACCGGCATCGACACCTCTGCTGCTACTGTACTCTGCTGCTGCTGCAGTTGCAGCTGTTGTTGTTGCTGTTGTTTTTGTTGTTGCTGCTGGAGCTCCTCCTGCTGTAGCTCCTGCTGTTGCTCGTGCTGCTGCTCCCGCTGCTCCTGCTGCTGCTCCCGCTGCTCCTGCTGGTGCTCCCGCTGCTCCTGCTGCTGCTGTTGGTGTTGAAGCAGTTTCTCTTCGGCCATCACCGACCTAGACGCAAGCCAAAGCGGGAGTAAAACACACGAGTGCCGGGGGGGTTATCTTGCCAAACTTAGCTCAAAGGTCATTTGTGACAGCGCTCATGAGAAAACGTGTTCGTGTGTGGGGGGCGCAATGCATTTGCACGTGGTAGGCAGGCGGGCTATATCTATGCCAGATGTCCGTTGCCGGAAAGGCGAAAGGGACGAAGGGGGTTGCGTGGGTACTTCCCATTCTCGGAAACGGTGCAGGTACATGGTACCAACAGTTTCGGAAAAAAGAAGAGCTACGTACCTCTCCGTTGCCAATCGCAGGTCTTCCTTCACCCTCCTCAGCCTGGCGATGGACATTGTCAACTTCATCTGCAGCTCCTGGTTTGCCTCTCGCGTTGATTCCTCGGCCGCCTCGTCTAAGTAGTTGTGCGGACCGTGAAGAGCACCAAAAAGGGGGTAAGGAAATTGATACCAAGCATCCAGCGCTCAATCCACCAGTCGTACGACGGGCGTCCATGCTTAAACTTTGTCTCCCCGGTGCTCTTCGATGCTTCAATTATACACACGTCGCTGCCTTTCGTTGTGGTGTCATGGCTGATGGGTGCAAGGCACCCACAACTTGCTGCACCAATGGCGGTATCAGCTCCCCCCTCTCGGTCACTATCCCTGTGCTCGGTAGGCGCTTGCCTGAAACGCCAAATTTTGAGAATTTGCGCCTAAAAACACACGGTACTTGAATCGCCTAAAACCTCGCCAAAAATCCGGCCGCTGCGCCTAGCTGGCGCCCATTCTTGCCTATTTTTTCAGCCTGCGCCGACTTTCAGCGGCGAGCGCCCCCTTTTCTCCTTCACCCCCCCCCCCCCACACAAGCACCCACGGGGCCCCACCAAATAAAACCACTCTTCTTTTCGGCCAAATATACGGATTTCAGTACACGGCTTGCGTTGTGATAGTGCTAATGATGCGCCTACACTACAACTATACCTTCATTTCCCCTTAATTGTACTCCTCCGGGGTTCGCCTATCGTCTCCGAGGTTCGCCTATTTATGTTTCAATTCCCGTAAAAGTCGCCTAAAAAACGTTTTTTGAATGTGCAACGTTGGCCTCTTTCTATTTTTAAACGCCTAAGAAACGACAAAAAAAACGCCTACCGAGCACAAACCTATCGGTCACGCTGACTGACGCACGTTCAACCGCTGTCATAGTTCTCGTAGGCTCGCCGTCTACCTTCAGCCACACGTGTTTCATGCTGCCTCTCTCGTTTACACCGCTCTCGCGGTGCTACCAAGCAGGCGATATGGCGTACGCCGGGGTACCTCCCGCGCACGCTGTGATAGGCTCTTCCGCACGCACCACGACAATCTCACGGCTCTACAAGAAGGCTCGCATTTAGTAAATCTCACCGCGAACGGGGCCCGTTGCGCTCTCCGCATCGGCGCGCTCTCGTTCCATCGTCGTCGTCGACGACACCTTCGAGGGTTCATTCCCCTCCACCACCACCAAGCGTTGGGCGGCGGCCTCTGGGGTTGCCTCGGGAGACTGTCGATGATGGCGGGGGGCGAGGCGTTCAGAATCGAAGGAGAAGTACTTCGTATATCACAAGCGCAGAGGATGAATCATATCCATACTCGCATGCGGTGGGGGTGTTTTGGAGCTTGTTGCTTGTGCGAGACGACGCCAGGTGATAGACACAAAGCAATAGCAGGTCAAAACAATAGATATGCCCAAGCTCGGCCGGTTTCGGGTAGAGTCGGCACGTGCGGAAGTGCCGTGAGGAAGTTGCCGAGGGAGAGGAAGGGTGAGCTGCATCCCAAGGACCTCTTGAAAACAAGGCTGCTTCCACTCAGTTCTACTTGCTCGTACACCGCAGAGTTTGCGCCGTGAACCACTCCAAGACGAAAGCTTCTCGAGGCGTGTGCTTAGAGTAAGCGACCTCCTGAACACGCACCCGTTTATCTTGCTTTTTCCGTCTGGCCAGTGTTTCGCTTTGCAGGGTGTGGATACAACCACACGGATCTTGCCGTGCCGAGGAACGGATCCAAGCCAACCTAACGGTAACACGACAAAGCAACACACATATTTGATACGGGCCACGCGCACACACCTTGACCGTCGACAAATGCAACTCCCGTTCCGAACGTAGCTGCTCCAGCTCCTTCTGCGCTGCGTGGAACCGGCCGAGGATATCACCAACGGCCTGGTCGTGCCTCGTCTCCTTCTCCTCCAGCTCGTCGCGCAAATGATCGTTGAGGGCCGTCAATATGGCCAACTGCACATATGGTGATTATGCATAGGTGCCGACAGACCGAACGAAGTGTGGGTATGTATTTGTACGAGCTGGCTACGCTCAAATTACAATAAGCAGAGATGCAATGTAGTACATAGGTTTGCACATGTGTGGGTTTGCAGGATACGCGACGCTTGGGGGTTGGGTATGGCGGGCCTCACAAGAAAACGTCGAGCAATGCGAGAAAGCGTCTCCACCAACATCTTGTTGTACATGCAGCGATCGTGAACCCAACGCACCACTTTCAAACAAGCGTGTCTGTTACGGAACATGCGATTGGATCGCCTAGACTATTTCACAACCGATTACCCCATCTAGTAATTCGCCGAATCCGCCGCGCGGTCACTCATTGTTGGCGAAAATCTCCGTATGATCTTGACGGCAAGCACGTACGGATGTACTCAACGAAAACGTTGTCAAAGCGTCAAGTTTCACGAGCATAGTGTCTACGTCGTTGATTCAGCATAAAAGTTCTCTCTATTGTGGAAGGCACAACAACACGATGTTGTCTTACTTGATCTTCGATAGGCCAAGCGGCCACGTCAACATCTAGGTTGGCCACGCCAGAGTCCAGGAAAACCGCTGCCTCCCACCCTCCGAGCGCCTCAACAACCTCGTGGAGCACGGCCTAGCAGGTGGATCAATTTCGGCGCGGAAAGAGGGGGGTCGCAAGGGCACGAGGTCTCATTCCCCATGCTTAGGCGGTGCGATACGAAACATGGTGATCCACGGTCATGTACTGCTGAAAGATGCGCAACGCAATCGTCACCGTTTCACAACTCAGCTACGATTCAGCTCGACATTACGAAGTAACGCGACGGAAGAGACCCCGTCGGACAATAAGTCTGTCGCTCATTCTTCATAACTAGTACCAATGGTGTTAGTCTGAGAAAGGCCGAATGATGAAATCCGGCATAAAACACAACCCCGTTTCAAACCCAGCGGGGACACCTTCTCGGCCTGAAGCAGCGTCGCCCTGTCCTGCCTCGCTTGCTGCGACTCCTTGAGACCGCCACCGCGCTTGCTGCTGTTGTCTCTGCCGGGTTCCAGCACCGCGTTCGTCCACGCCGAGATCGTCCGGTGCTTGGCTGCGGTCTTGGTCACCTCTACCAATAGAGCTTGGGCCGCCTGTCGGACAGCGTGGGTGTGTGGTTGTACGTCCGGAGCAGCAGGGGGTTAGTCCGTTTGCACAGGCCGTACGGAAGTAGATGTGTCCACGTGAGAGGGACGGTGTCCGGAAACCCACAAGGGAGGTAGCGCAGAATTAAGGTCAAGCCCCGGTAGGAATTCCGACCACAAGTAAAGGTGTATCCGACTGTAGGATACCTGCAAGGCTGGCACGTCGTTGTGGTGGGAACTAAATCGATTGGGCATCCAGCTTTTGCGATCAGAAATGCTACTTCCGTGGCGGTGGCCGCGGCGAGAGGGGAGCGAGAGGGCGGGGGGATAATTTTCGTCGCTTCCTACAAATCTGAAAGTGTGGTGGTCGGCTCACCTCTACGCCCCAATCCATCATGGCGTCTGTCAGATCCGCGTAGCGTTCGACCAGTCGCTGTTTATGATTGTCCTTTTCTTTTGACGCGACTTCATCATCCCCGGAGTCAGAGTCTAGCTCGGACGGAGAATCGGAGGAGAAGCAGGCCTCGAACGCCTCGACAGCCAGCTTGCACCGTGCCGCCGCCTGTTTCGCGAACGCGGTCAAGACCGAGGGCTTGCTGGAGACGAAAATAAACGTAGCACGACGTACTTGACACGCTGTTGGCGCTACGGCAGTGTTGTGAGGCAACCTAGGATTGTACACCATTGAGGGTTCTTTTCTGTGGTACCCGTGACTCGCGGCTACCGATTTTCGTTTCTCGAACGGTCCAGCTCCACAGGTCGAACAACCCGGCCGTTCAACACGCGAAACCAGAGAGACCAAGAGTGGTCCTCGTGGCTTGGCAAGGCACCCGGTAGCAAGAGGAACGGCCGATCTCTCTCTAGATAATGATTCTGAGATCTAAACAGCTCAAAACACCCCCGGTATAGGCGACATCAACACGTCAATCTCGTGATCTGTGCGTACCTGGCAGTAAGCAGCGAGTGACCTCTCTGTCGGAACGAAGTCGATTGCAGCCGTTGCTGCAGGACCAGGTTGGTGAACCACTCCGGCATCACCATCACCGCCGTCCGCCCCCCGCTTTGGCTCCGCCGCCTCTTCTTGTATTCCCTCCAGAAAGCCCGCCTCCGCCGCTTCCCCGGCCTCTTCCACCATCGATAAAGACAGCTCGTCTTCCTCCGGAACTTCTTCGTGCTGCTCTGGCCAAGGCTGAAGCTGCTCTTCTTCTCGCTCTTGGTCATATTGTTCAGTTTCATTCGGCGAGGAACCTGTGATTCCCGATCCCTCGAGGTCGACCAGACCAGAATCTTCTTCTTGTTGCGTGTGGCCCGTTGTCGAGCTTGGCGGCCCAGGGTGAGAAATCTCGTTTCCATCTTGAGGCTCGGAGGTGGAAGCGGCGCCTTGCAGCGGCGGGCGAGTGGGGACTGTTTCCCCGTCTAGTGCGTTTCCCGCCAGGGTTTCCTCCACCGCTGAGGTATCGCCGGGAGCACCATCTTGCCGTTGACCCATCCCCGTGACATCAGATTGTTCAACGGCATCGTCTCGAGTGCCGTTGCCGTTCCCTCCCGGTTGTTGTTGATTTCTAGCCCCGTTGTTGTCTTGCGACCGGTCTTGAGCAACAGCACTGTCAGAGACCTCCACCCCCTTCGTCGCTGGCTCCTCTCGAGAACCCATGCTTTCCGACCTTTTGTCAATCAACAGCCGCGGCGGACCAGCTTCCGACGACGACTCCGTCGAGCGAGTCTGGCCGCCGCCCTCCCCCCCGGAACTCTCGACCGCTTCCCGCTGTGCCGAGCTCCTGTTGTTCTTGCTACCGCCGATGCTGTTATTATCCCTGCTGCTGCGAACACTCCGGCGACGCTGCTGCGAGAAAGAGGCTCTGCTGCTCCGACTTGACCGTCCCCTTTGCTTGCCGCCGCCGTCGCCGCTACTACCACCGTCACCACCCCCCGCTCGCGGCAACACCGAGCTCCGGCGGCGGCCGCCACCGCGCGAGGAAGGCGGCGATGGAGCCTTCGACCCTCCTCTGCCGAGCCGCCGTCCCCGCGCAGCGGCGGCCTGGCCTTTGGGCGACCTCTTCTTCCCGCGGTTGTCCCCGCGAGCGTTGGCCACATTGTCGGACAGCTCTTTGAAGTTTTGCGCGGCCTGGACCTGCGGGGTGCCTGCGTCCGGTGCTGCCACGACCTGTGTGTACGTCACATGGGGCGAGCAGAAGTGGAGGCTGGCGTATGGTAGAGGGAACGCATACAATATCAGTGTTGTGCGAACCAGGAAACGAATAGAATAGATTGGTGGAGTAGGCAAAAGCGCCGTCGACGAACGAAGTATAATAACGGCGCACAAGAATCGGTTGTCCGGCTTATCTTAGTTTTGCTTCCACTGCAGTATTTCATGGTGCCGTTGGACTAAGTGCAAGTCGCGCTTTGATATAGCAAAACCCGCTTAAAAGCTTTTTTCTCCAAAGAAATGCGAACAGGAACACTTGGATCTCTAGAACTGACATGGTCAACGAAACCGCAACACACGATAGCATGGGACTTCGCCTGGAAGCGGCGCGCAAGTCTCGCTTGATGGAGGGTACTGGAAGGTACACGTGTGTTTCGCCCGTCCGCCCCAACATTTTCTCTCTAGTTCAACGTTTCCAGATAGCGATAACGTTAAAATCGCAAAATAAGCACTTCTCTACCAAGAGCAGTGTTTATTCGGTTCGATACAACGGTGTTGATGTTCGTTGTCATGCAAGAATGCAGCGGCACGACCCTTTCAACGGCGTGCTCTCATCCGCTTCCCCGGTAGGCTCGTGCCATTTGCCGGCGCAATGACGGTGATAAACGGATAACCCTTCCATTCCTAACAGAGGCTCTTCAGCTTGAAGTCTTTTTCACAACATCCTCTTCAAAATACACCATCAATCCTAAAACATTGGCGGGTTGCCTACTACAACACTTTCGCGGTTGGGCACAACCGTGTACTCCCACGAATTATTTTTTCATCACGTCTCCTGGCGCACAAACACAATCCGTTTTTATTTCGCACCTTGTCGGCCAGCGCCCGGCCTTGGCGTATGACGTCCGCGTGCTCGGCGAGCTTCCTTTGCAGGGAGGCGATGTCCGCCGCCATGACATGGACACGGTGTTCTGACGCTTCCAGCTCGCTCTGAGCTGCCAGTTGCTGGAAATTACGAAGGACAGCAGTAGCATCATCGAAAACCAAGAGGACCAGTGGTGAAACGGTCAGCTGGGTGAGTGGGTGAGGACACCCGCGGGAGAAGAGGAGAAAAAAGGTGCGGTCATCGATAGGCGTTCCTCTCCTCACTGAGCCCTTCAACAACCGTGCGGCGCTTTTCCAACTCATCCAGCGTGTTCCTGGTTTGAGGATGGCTGACATGGCAGATGAGTATTATTGGGGCTATTCGAGCGGAGCGACGCGCTGCTTATGGCGCATCGGATGACACATCTCCCCACTAGCATAACCATGCACAGGAAAACACCTTTTCGCTGCCTCCGAACGAACGTCATCTGAGGCATTAGTCTATAACTACACATCACCGACGTGAGGGAGTGCGTTCATCTCGAATATGTTCCGCCATTGCGATTTATCGGTGGTCTGCCGGGAGAAAAGTGTATCACCCCTCCTGTGTGGAATACCTGGCGAAACACCAAAACCTACAACTAACTTCTGTTCCTTTTTTAACAGGCCTAGAGACTGAGTTGTGGTCTAGTTGTCATCGTGCTTCTTTATAAGGTGGTCACCCTCCACACATCCACGGAGTTTGGCATTGGCCTCCGGATGGTATTGGACAACACCTCAAAAGGAACGAGGGTCGACCGAGCCGGGGACTTTCCGAACCCGGGACAGGACTCCTCTCCGGCGGCAGCGAAGTTTGGAAGAGGGTCATGGAGGGCGTGGCGGTGGCGGTGCGGTGCCCACACGGAGGGTGGGGATGGAGGCCCCACTTACCTCCGGCAGCAGCCATCTACCCCGTGCGGCAACAAGGCTCGTGCACGCGTGACGGACAACGAGAGCGAAATAATTGCTTTCCACCGAATCTTTTCTTTATTGTTATCACATATATTTTGTATTATTGTAGTCGATCTTTTACACCTCACCCCGTGCCGCAACAAGGCGATGAGGTATACGTCTGGTTCACGCGTGACAGACAACGAGCAAATTACTTGTTCTCCACCGCGGTACGAACAGATATAGAGGTTCTGGATAGAGAGATCGGAATAGTTTTGTAATATGAAGACACCAACTACCGCAGTTTATTTTCAGTTACTTCTATTCTGGACTGGACGACGTCAGCCTTTTTAGACCTTTCGGTATACAGTAGAGGTCCCTGTTTAGTGCCAGTATGCCCAGAAAATTCACCAGCACTTACCCGACACCGGCGCTTCTCAGAACAGAGATAAATAGGTTTTAGCATTCGAGTGGACACTCGTGCCCAGAGATGTGACCGGCACTAAACTGGGCACGGGCACTGAATAGGGACCCTACTGCAATACGATTTCTGGACTCACCAGCCGGGGTCAATCACATTGTACGGGAAAAAACGGCGGTGCCCGAGCACGACACAAGAGCCAGCGAGAGGCGACACCGTGTTGGCAACGCCTTCCGCTCCCGAGCTTCCTCCATCACGCGACTGCAAAGAGGACCGAACGCATCCAACCTGGAGTGCTAAGCGCACTGCAGGTTGGATACGGTCGACTCGGGTGTTTGAGGGGGCTTGGGAGTGGTAAGGCGGTGTCAACACGGTGTCGCCACTCGCCTGCTTCGCATGGAGGCTCTCGCTGACACAGGAAGTTTTTTCTCCGCCTGCGGTTGCGATTTTTGCGTTTTTTTTGTTCACTCCAGAGCAGGAATCGAACTCCAACCGGGGACTAGTACGGGGTTCAGTACTTGAACAGCGTGAAAACACTAGTAATTACTACGTTTGTTCGGTTCGGAAAAATATATACATCCGTCACGCGTCTTGGTGTGGACACCTATTATGCCAGATGACGAGTGAAAGGTGCGTGACGGATTAAAACAAGAGGAAGTGAAAAAGATCAGCGTGTTAGCCTGCTTTGTCAAGGGAAGACAAGCATCGAAAATAAAGCAAATTGGTGCGTTCGCCTTCTTCGTCGATCAGGGGTGGGCGAAGATGCACGTATCGCAAGAAGAAAAAAACATAGCGTCGCGGCGTTGTTTGTCACGGGGGCGAGGGGAGATACGCATTGAAAATGCAGAAATACCCCCATCATCACGTACATTTCTACGATCGAGGATGGTCTTAGATGGCGGTGGGGGGTCCCGAGACAAGATGACGTGACACCACGGTAAACATTGGATGAGTACCACAACACCTGGGGCTCCGGACATCGCCCCTTTTTGGTGTAGAGGGACGGACCCTTCCCCAAGATCACGACTGCAATTGTAAATAATCGAGTGGATATATTCTTCGTACAGCGCCGAGTAGTATTACATGCATTTTCCATGGCCACCACAGAACGATTTTGACTCTCCTGTATGCGTACTTTCTCTTGTATATCGATTATTTTACATCGTCACCGCCACTTTGTATACAACAGAGAAAGAGAGGGGAAGAATCTTGTAGGGAGTTCACATTGCCCTCCTACTTTCGTCTGCGGTGCTTGCGCATATTCAGTTATGGTGAGGAGGATTCAGAGGCTGGTTCGCTTTGTCGAACATAAATTCGCCTTGAGCACCCACCAACTGACCGTTTTCCGATTGTTTTGCAAGTTTCGAGCCTCTCGCTCTGGTGCAAAACCTCTTAAACGCCCGATGGCTTGAGCTTGCCGATTCGTCCATGTTCTCTCATGAATAGTGCAATGACATCAATTGGAACCATGACAGAAATCACGGATAAGCCGAGATTGCCGAAGAGAGGTCGAGGACAAGCCGAGGATAGGCCGAGGATAAGCCGAAATTGATGAGGATAAGCCGAGGTTGCTGAGAACAAGATGAGGAAAAGCCGAGCTTCATGAGGATAAGCCGAGGTTGCTGAGGATAAGCCGAGTTTTGATGCAGATAAGCCTAGGTTCCTGAGGATGAGCCGAGGATGCCGAAGATAAAACAAGGATAGGGATGAGCCGAGGGTGATGAGGATAAACCGAGGTTGCCGAGGATAAGCCGAGGAAAAGCCGAATTTGATGAGGATAAGCTGAGGTTGCTAAGAAAAAGCCGAGGAAAAGCCGAGCTTGACGAGGGTAACCCGAGGTTGCTGAGGACAAGCCGAGTCTGATGAGGAAAAGCCTAGGTTCCTGAGGATGAGCCGAGGATGCCGCAGATAAAACAAGGGTAGGGATAAGCCGAGGTTGATGAGGACAAGCCGAGGTTGATGAGGATAAGCCGCGGTTACTGAGGATACGCCGAGGTTACTGAGGATAAGCCAAAGTTGCTGAGGATAAGCCGAGGTTGCCGAGAATATGCCGAGTTTGCTGAGGATAAGCCAAGGCTGCCGAGGATAAGCCGAGGTTGCTGAGCATGAGCCAAAGATGCCGAAGAAAAGCCGAGGATAGGGATAAACCGAGGTTGCTGAGGATAAACCGAGGTTACTGAGGATAAACCGAGGAAAAGCCGAGATAGATGAGGATAAACCGAGCTTGCTGAGGATAAGCCGAGGTTACTGAGGATAAGCCGAGAGTGATGAAGATAAGCCGAGGCTACTGCAAATGAGCCGATATTTGATGAGGATACGCCGAGGTTGATGAGGATAAGCCGAGGATACTGACGATCAGCCGAGATTGCTGAGGATTCGCCGAGGTTTCTGCAAATGAGCCGAGATTGATGAGGATAAGCCGGGGTTGCCAAAGACAAAGCCGAGGTTGCTGAGCATAAGCCGAGGTTACTGAGGATAAGCCGAGAGTGATGAGTATAAGCCGAGGTTGTTGAGGAAATACGCCGAGATTGATGAGGATAAGCCGAGATTGATGAGGATAAGCCCAGGTTGATGATGACAAGCCCGGGGTTGATGAGGATAAGCCAAGGTTGCTGAGGATACGCCGACGTTCCTGCAAATGAGCCGAGATTGATGAGGATAAGCCGGGGTTGCCAAAGCCGAGGTTGCTGAGGATGAGCCGAGGTTGCCGCGGATAAACCGAGGTTACTGAGGATAAGCCGAGGAAAAGCCGAGATTGATGAGGATAAGCCGAGCTTGCTGAGGATGAGCCGAGGATAGGGATAAATCGAGGTTGCTGAGGATAAGCCGAGGAAAAGTCGAGATTGATGAGGACAAGCCGAGCCTGCTGAGGATGAGCCGAGGCTAGGGATAAACCGAGCTAGCTGAGGATGAGCCGAGGTTCCTGAGGATAAACCGAGGTTACTGAGGATAAGCCGAGATTGATGAGGATAAGCCGAGGTTACTGCGAATGAGCCAAAGTTGCTGAGGATAAGCCGAGGTTGTTGAGGAAATAAGCCGAGGTTGCTGAGGATAAGCCAAGGTTGCCGAGAATAAGCCGAGGTTGCTTAGGATGAGCCGAAGATGCCGAAGATAAGCCAAGAATAAGGATAAACCGAGGTTGCTGAGGATAAGCCGGGGTTGCCAAGGATAAAGCCGAGGTTGCTGAGGATCGCTGAGGATGAGCCGAGGGTGCTAAGGATAAACCGAGGTTACTGACAATAAGCCGAGGAAAAGCCGAGATAGATGAGGATAAGCCGAGCTTGCTGAGAACAAGCCGAGGAAAAGGATAAGCCGAGAGTGATGAGGATAAACTGAGGTTACTGCGAATGAGCCGAGCGACGAGGATAAGCCGAGGTTGCTGAGGAAATAAGCCGAGGTTGATGAGGATCAGCCGAGCGTACTGACGATCAGCCGAGATTGCTGAGGATAAGCCGAGATTGCTCAGGATAAACCGAGGTTGATAAGGATACGCCGGGGTTGCTGCAAATGAGCCGAGATTGATCAAAATAAGCCGAGGTTACTGACGATCAACCGAGATTGATGAGGATAAGCCGAGGTTGATGACGATAAGCCGAGATTATTAGAATAAGCCGAGATTGATAGGTATAAGCCGAGGTTGCTGAGAATAAGCCGAGATTGATTAGAATAAGCCGTTACTGACGATCAGCCGAGATTGATGAGGATAAGCCGAGGTTGATGACGATAAGCCGAGATTGATTATAGAATAAGCCGAGATTGATAGGGAAAAGCCGAGGTTGCTGAGAATAAGCCGAGATTAATTAGAATAAGTGATTAGAATAAGCCGAGGTTGCTGAGGATAAGCCGAGATTGATGAGGATAAGCCGAGGTTGCTGAGGAAATACTGAGGTTGATGAGGATACGCCGAGGTTGCTGTAAATGAGCCGAGATTCATGAGGATAAGCCAAGGTTACTGACGATCAACCGAGATTGCTGAGGATAAGCCGAGGTTCCTGCAAATGAGCCGAGATTGATGAGGATAAGCCGAGGTTACTGACGATCAACCGAGATTGATGAGGATAAGCCAAGGTCGCTGAAGATAACCCGAGATTGATTAGGATAAGCCGAGGTTGATGAGGATAAGCCGAGGAAAAGTCGAGATTGATGAGGATAAGCTGAGGTCGCTGAGGATAGGCCAAGATTGATGAGGTTAAGCCGAGATTGATGAGGACAAACCGAGGTTGATGAGGATACGTCGAGGTTGCTGAGCGTAAGCCGAGGTTGATGAGGATGAGCCGAGGAAAAAGACTGGCCGAGGATACTGAGGATGAGCCAAGGTTGCTGAGGATAAGCCGAGGTTACTGAGGATAAGCCGAGATTGATGAGGATAAGCCGAGGTTACTGGCGATCAGCCGAGGTTGCTGAGGATAAGCCAAGGTTGCCGAGAATAAGCCGAGGTTGCTGAGGATGAGCCAAAGATGCCGAAGATAAGCCGAGGATAAGGATAAACCGAGGTTGCTGAGGACCGCTGAGGATCAGCCGAAGGCACTAAGGATAAACCGAGGTTACTGAGAATAAGCCGAGGACATGGAAAAGCCGAGATAGATGAGGATAAGCCGAGCTTGCTGAGAACAAGCCGAGGATACTGAGGATAAGCCGAGATTGATGAGGATAAGCCGAGGTTACTGCGAATGAGCCAAGTGATGAGGATAAGCCGAGGTCGCTGAGGAAATAAGCCGAGATTGATTAGGATATACCGAGATTGATGAGGATAAGCCGACGGTACTGACGATCAGCCGAGGTTGCTGAAGAATCGTATTGGGTTCCTAGCATGTCAACTTCCTTGCCTGTTCCCGCGCGTTCTCCACCTCCGCTGATCGCTCGGCAAGGCTTTCCCTCAGCACCGGACACTCGAGACACTCCGTCGAAGAAGAAGACGAGCTAAGGGATGACTGGGCTGACACCTTGTCTCGTTCCTGGCATGTTTGGGAGGGAGAGACCGAGCACAAGGTGTTGAAGGAAAGTGATCGGGATTTGAAGGAAAGTGGTCGGGGATTGGTTCTATGTGTACGAAACACTGTTGTTTGGGCCATGTACGAAACACTGTTGTTTGGGCCAACGGTAGTTATATGTTCGGGAACCACTGTACACAGAAGCAGCTCTCGGCCGACGGGTTTAGCGTGAGCCTTTTCCTAGTTCAGTTCTAGCCGACCCGTAAATGTCAGCAACAAGGTGAAATCATTCGGGTCGTTTGCTCTTCGGGCACTAAGTCTATCTTCACGCTCTCCCCTTCCCAGACCGTATTTGCTAAGTGTCAAAGCTCAACAGACGTTACAATACGACTATGATGGCCAGCTCAGGCCGTGCTTCAAAATCTACGAGGTGAGTCAAACGATTGCGCAGCACCGGCTGGGTGGGTGGGCCTACCGAGATATATTCCTGTCGCCGAACGTCCTACGAGCCTTCAGACAACGTGTGAATCCATGAGACAACGAGATTCCCAAACAATATTTCGCCTCCACCAGCATCGCTGCCGAAATACGTGCACGTTCTTGAGTGAATTCGGGTACGTCACTCACGTACTCGTCGTCCCGAACCCGCATGAGCTTGTGCAGCAGCTTCTGGTGGTCGTCTTCAAACGCGGCCGACGGCGTTTCCTCATCCAATAGCTTACCCAGCAACGCCTCGCCGTCGATGGACTCATATCGATCACGACCGCGCCCGTCCGGGCCGGCATCGGTGGGGGATGCGGTGCTCGTATCACAGCCGCGCGACCCCCGGCTGTCGGTACTGCGGTGATCAGTATCATCGTCATCTTGGACTCGATTTTCCATCCGCTCCCCATGTTCCATCACCTCGTCACCCTCCTCCTTCCCTCCGTTCTCCTTCCCACCCTCCCCATTGGTCGTGGCACTTGTGTCCCTCGTTTCCCTCGTCTCCACGATGCTCGAACCGGCAACCTGTTCTTCCCTCTCGGGTTCAAGCGCGCCATCACCTCGAGGATCTTCCACCGTCTCCGGTCTCTTCGCCGGCACCATCCCGTCCGTTGCTTCCATGATGGCAGTGGTAGAGGCACTCCCGTCTTGGTCGGCACGGTTGTCCGACCCCTCCGCGACCTCCTGCGCCTGAAGCGTGCCATTCGATTCCTCTTCGGCAGTAATACCTTTCGATTTATCTTCGGCAGCAGCAGTGCTTTGAGTCTCCGCGGCCTCAACGAAGGGGGCTTTGCTCGGTTCAGGTTGCTCGACTGCGGGATTTCCATTGTTGCTCTCGGCGTTGCTGCTGTCGCTGGGCTGTGCTAGCGCGACGACGGGAGAAACGGGAACGTCGGCATCGTTTGTCGTTGCCACACCGTCATAGTCGGCCTGCGTCCCGCCGTCCGATGTCTCGACCACAGGCTGTGTGGGACCGCCTCCAACCTGCACCCCGCTGTCCACGCTCGCTTTTCTTGGAGCACCAACACGGACGTCACTAACTCCGACGGTGGTCGCAGTGTCAACAAGAGGAGGAGGGCTGTTCGAAGCTGAAACCCCTGTCGAAACGAGTGTCGCGCGAGACCCCGTTCCGACTTCTTGCCCACTGACTTCGGCGATGGCAGGCGAAGGTGGACGCGGGCTCGTGTTCGAGGACCTGTTGGCGCGTTTTGGTGATGACCTCGGCTTTGCACCGCCATTCTTCGACACGGCAGTGCTTGGGCCGGTAGAGTGGGGAAGCCGTTCCTCCGGGCTAGCCGTAGGTGTTCCCAACGACAACGGCGTTTCCGCAGGAGGAACGATCCGCCGCCGCGGCGATGATCGCCTAGAAGACGACGGTCCTGTTCTGCCAGAAGTGGCGAGTCGGCTCGCCTGTGATCGATTGTGGGGCAAAACAGTACGAAAGGGCGAATCGTCGACCAACGAATCAGGCCCGGCCCATCGACGCTGAGACGGCGTTCACGCCAACGACAAGTTGGATCGAAACAGGGCTGCTTTGCACCGGACGACACCCGGGTCAACATGCCCGTGTCGAAATAAAATGTTTGGATGGTGGCAAGAACCCGGCCCCGAAACACCAAAACAAGTACAGCGTTTCCCGCGTTTAGCCCAATTCTACTCTCCTCTTCCCTCGGCCTCGGAGTCTTTTCTCATTCCTGATTCCGCTCCAGCCAAGTCTCCACTCTCGCTGTGGGGACCACAACGGCAAGTGTTACTACACAAGTAAATTACTGTTGATGCAATAAATGGACACCCCAGGTCGATGTTTCCTCTCACCATTGCGCTATTTTGCTTCGTCTGTACGGCCAACAGCCCCGCCAGGTGCTCGTATCGGCGGCGCCACGTCCCGGTATCATCGGCGACGACGGTAGGTGGCGGTTCTTCTTCGGCTGCTGCATGGGGGGAGGGGGGAGCAGCGATATCAATCACCTCCTCGTGTGGAGGTGGGTTCGCTTCGGCGTCTTGGGCGTGCATTCCTCCGGCGGCCTCAGCCATCTCCTCTTGGTGTTGCTGCTGCAGGCGGGCATGCTGGTTTTCTTGCCGTAGAGCCCCAACTTCCTTCCGTAGCGTGCGTACCTGGACCTATTTGTTGTTTTAGCGGGCAAAAAATCACAGTCGGGCGGTACAAGTGCGCGCAATAAAAAGTACAAGGTGCACCTTGAAACAAGACGCCGGCGAAATCTTGTACAAACGATGGCCACGTTCCTTTGGTAGCATGCCAAGATTCCGCCCTACCTTTGTGAAGTTGAGCGGAAGACTCAAAAGATGACACTGTTACAGCTCTAACAACTACGTTCTTGTTACGTTCTTACCGCTACGTTCCTGCCGCTAGAAAATGCAAGGCAAATATTTCTGGAAATCGTGGTGTAGAATAGGGAAGACGACGACAAGAAAATGACATGCGTGATTCGAGAGGCACCCTAGACTCACAAGGTGCTGCTGGAGCTCGTCCACTAGGACCATATTTTCTTGGGACAGCGCCACCGCCTTCGCCCGTTCCTCTTCGGCGGCTTCCTGCTCCAGCGATACCTATTGATCGATGCGGTTTGACAAGACACGACAGGACAGAGCAGGGCAGAGCAGGGCAGAGCAGGGCAGAGCTGGACAGAGCACCAGGATAGAGCAGGACAGCGAGAGAAATTTCAAGCCGAATCAAACACCACATCACCTCGAGGCTATGTCTATTTGTGTACATGCTAAGAGCCGGGAGGTGTCCTGCGCAAGGATTTAGAGAGTATGGCAATACCTGCTGATTATTCGAAAAGGCTACATCGAACTCGGGAGATTCTTGCCACGCTGATCAAGCGTGGCGCTTAGAAGCGTTTCACGCACCACGTGGGGAGAAAACATAGCCATATGGGTTATATGCTCAATACGGACTGGCCAGAACCACATGCGGAGAGGATCTGAATCAGCGTGCGACAAGAGTCGCACTATCTCCGTGTTGGTAGATAGAAGGCGTTTTATTTTCCTTCAATGCCATTTACAAAAGTACCAGCCGATCCCTACCTTTTTCTCGGCCTCGCATGCCCTGATCCGACCGACGAGGGCCTCCTTAAGCAGCACAGATGACGAAGCTATGGCCCTCTCCAGAGCGGCGGCCAAGGCTTCCTGGATGCTCGACGCTGTTGGGTGGAGTTTCGATGACACACAACAAGGTGAGCAGCACGCTGACCGACTGTTTTCGTTCTCTCGTGGGCGGGCAGCGAAATACTCAAGAGTAGGCAACGTTCGACGCGGGAAATTGTTGTTTGTCGACTGACGGATCAAGCCGTGACACTGAACAGCTGATCAGGAGAGTGTGATTGGGTCGGCTTGGCGTGAGGGCATGCGCACCTACTACAGCAGTCATCGCTTCGCTCTACGCCTTCGGCCGTTGTTCTTCTGAGCCGCGTCCTGTCAACACACACAATGCGTTCCTTCTGGGTCTATCGCTCTGTGACTCCGCCCCCGGGCCCCTCCCCTTCCACCTCCAAGGTGATGCATGGTCAACGAAAGATGTACGACGTTTTTCGCAGCCCGACACACACACGCACCCACGGTGCGTTTCTACACTACTGCTAAATTATGAACAGTCCAAATATTATCTCCTCCTGCTTTTCTTATCCTCACCATCTTCATCCACGATCGTCTTCGTCCCCTCCAAGATACTCTCGACAGACGACAAGCCGTTCCCGCAACAGTCCACGACATCGGAGAACATCTTGTCGGCCTTGTCGCAGTGGCGTTGGGTCTGTAATCGCACAGACCGGGACGCGAAATAAGCGCTCATCGACGTATCATCTTCGGATGCCTCTGGAACAAATTCAATCATGGATATGCTCATCGTCTCAAAATGTGCGTGTGCGCAAACTGTGGTTGCACCACCCCTTATGCCTCCGGACAGTTCTTTTAGTACCAAGAGCGCTCGCTGGCCCCAACAAGAAAAATCAAATGATCTTCCCCTGAATATACTTGGCGGCTAGAATAAGCCCCTCCATTCGTCTCGCTCACCACGCCCGCATCCTTCGCCTTTCTCCTAAGCTCTCCTAGCCCCACTTTCTCCTGACTCAGGGCTCTGTCTACCAGCCCGTCGTAGTCTACCGGCTGCAAAATATTGATTTCTTCCGAAGTATCCCGTGACGGTGTCGTGGTCTCCGCAGCAGGTGCCTCCGTCGCCTCCGACAGGGGGAGCGGCTCCGGGGGCAGCGAGGCCGAAGCGTCCGCGAGTGCTTTGGCCGTAGCTGCGGATTCGTGAAGAGCCTGCGTGTGGCACGGAATTGTGAATTGTTTCAACAGAAGGTCAGTTTGCTCGGGGCGACAAAGAGGGCGGTTGATTGCTGAAAAGGTGGTGGGGCATCGCCTTGTTCGCGCTTCGGCGCCAGCGATTGTGGCTGAGCGATGGTCGCCGACACCTAGGCAGGCAGACAACTTCCGTTGTGGATACCCCCAGCAATCGCACCTAATACGCGACGACAGCATTCCAAGATGAAGACTCGCAGTAGGGGCGGCGTGTTCTTTGCTTCCTACTGTTTCAAATACGGATGTAGATCCTTCGGCGGCACAATAGTTCCAACTCCCACAACATCCATCGCCCTGTTGCGGTCAAGGTTGCAAACCATCGTCTCACTGCGCTTTTTTCTAATCTTAATATCAGCTCCTAGCAAGAGTACCTACCTGCACTTGCTCTTGCGTCTTTGCCAGCTCCAATCGCAGGTTCGAAAGCTCCGCGTTGGCCTCTGCGGCCGCCACTTCCTTCTTCCGCGCCTGCTCCAGCGCGGCCTCCAGCTCACCGACGGCCTTGCGGCGGGCTTCGACCTCTTCCGAGAGCTGCCCACTGCTCTGCCTCCTGAGGTCGCGAATGGCTCCTCGGAGGCCCTGGATCCACCGTCCGTTGTGTTTTTTTTTTGTTTCAAGACGATCAGATTGTCTTTTTGGCTTGGCTCTAACAACAATACTTTTTTGGCTTTTCTCTAACAACAACGAAAACACGGGGAGACAATGCAATGTTCAGCCTTTGTCAAACATCAACTACCGTATGTCTGATATGTCCATGGAGAAACGTCTACAGGGCAGCATTGGTTTCGTAGTCAACCGCAGGGGAAAATATACTTAGCTGCGACATGAATCTCTTGGCCTCTTGCCACTTACCTCTTCCACGGCGTCGGGGGCGGGGCTGTTGACAACCGTCGTAGCTTTCTTGTTCTTTTCCTTCTCCAGCTCCGCGCTCAAGCTTTGCAGGCGGGTGGTAAGCAACTCATTCTCACGCTAAGCACCATCCCGGGCCGGGGAGGTTCGAAGCGACCGCAGGCGGTGGCGGGGGCAACGACGATTGAAGCTCGATGAAGTGCACCGATATGAACTATCAACCGCGTTTTTGGCAACAGAAAACATTTCACTGTGAACGATGGTGTAGACGGTAGGCCTTGAGAGGGCAGAAACATACTCGCGTGGTCCTTACCGTGTTATCAGCCGAGCGATGTTACCCTACTCCTAACACACCCGGGGTTGTAAAAGAGAGGTTCTTCCTAACACGAGAACCATAACACGCCTCGCACAACAGCAGTGACACCTTTGATTCTAAGAGCGCCTTCTCGGCCTGCGCGGATTGTTCCCTGGCGTTGCGTAGCGTCTGCTCTGCTGCCGCGTTGTTGGAGCGATCGTCTCGGACAGACGCCGTGCTCGTCTCGCTCAACGTATCCAAATCACTCGGCGCAAAGGTCTGCCGTTCGTCGCGCCGCACAAAGAGCGCACACAACCGTTCATTGTTGATGAGACCAACGTGCCGAGGAGGAGCGGGGGTCGTGCATTCAAAAGGAGGAGTATGCCAAACTGAACAGTAACCTGCCCCAACACATTGTTTCGTTGAATAGTCTTGTTGCTCTGTTCTATGAAGCGAGTACGCGGTCACCAGAGCGAGAGAGAGAGCACTCGCTGCGGCTCGCCCCCCTCCCTTGGCTGGGTACAATCTATGTCATCACTATCATACTTACCCCAGACAATATAGTGCGATGCAGAACGCGAGCTGAACTCGAGATCTCTAGTGGTGTAATTTCCGTCAGAGAGTGTTGTCTCGAGCCATAATGGAATGAAGTATTCGTGGGATAAGTTGCAGAATGGTCTCCAGAGCTTCCTCCTATGACAAAAAGCCAAGAATTTACCTTTCATCGTCTTCTATGCCGCAACAAAGCACAGGCGCTATTGACATTCCAAGCAAGCCCTACGGAATACTTTTGAGCATCGGTATCAATTCCACTCTACTAATTTTCTCACGCTTCCTCGCCGGCCTGACCGCTTCCCGCCTTGATCGGCCAGCCTCAACACCACCAGATCGCGGTACAGCTTCTTGTTCGCCTCGGTCAGCGCTGTTCTCACCGCACAGCGATAGTCGTGGTGACGAAGTTCCGAGAAACAGATTGATTAGAAAAGAGGGAGAAGAGGCGTTTGTGACAGCCAAACAACGGTCCAAGCCCACATGAATCCATAACGTGCGGAAGTCCTTGATCGCGAGGGGGGTGGGGGGTCCTGTAATCTGGAGGTCCTGCGGAAACAACCTTCTTGATCGAGCTGGTTCATTATGCCCCGTCTGCAGGTTCAAAGAGATTATCACATTCCCTTTAGCTACGCCGCGAAAATCAGTTGAATGGCTATCCAACAACAGACAGGCCGCCTTCTCACCGGCGTTTTCAGTAGACAGCCTTGCGGTTTCAGCCTGAAGTTGCCGCAGCTGCCCGGCGTCAGTAGCTGATGCTGGAGCTTTCAGCTTGTCGAGCAGCGGGGCTAGACGTGGCTCCCTACGCCGTGTCGAAATCACCGGCACCGACAGCAAGGAATACGGGTGGAAAACAGATGAGCCTGGCGTCTGAAGGTGGCTAGTGCTTCACATCATGTTTCGCAGTGATGCTCTTGCGTGAAGAACAGATGCCCGTTGTGGTCAGACTACACGAAGCCCCAAAAGAGACAGGGCTGCACGACGAACCGTTTTCGCGAACCTGACAAATCGTTTGGACGGATGTTGCTTTTCGTGCGGGGGCACCACAGCAACCGATTGCTCTGACGCATGCAAGCACGCATGGGTACTACAGCGTTGGGTCCCGCGTTTGTGGGGTTCGTTTGCCCGTGTATGTTTTAGCTCTCCCGAAGATAACAAGGCATGAGGTGTCGCAGATAATTTTCTGCGTCTAGAATTTTTCTTGAGTATATTGATCCTATTTAGCTGCAGTCTTGTTGAGCTCGGAAGATACCGATCGGTTAAAGCACCGCGGAACAAAGGCGACATGATATTTAAGGCCGACGCCGTCTACTCTTACGGTGGTTCTCCGTGCAGTGGAAATTACACCTCTACCACCTCTCGTACGATTTGCAAAGACGTCGGTTGGAGCTCTGAAAGGGAGATCGCAACGAAAAACGGATGAAAACGAAACGACGGTGTGCCTCGCCCCCCTTCGTTGCCCTTCTAGAAGAAAAGCAAAAGACTGCACGCTTTAACTCCTGCATGACCTGTCTATTTGCTCCTGTTTTCGGGCCTTGTCCTCGTATCCGGCCACAACGTGCTGTAGCTGCATAACCTGGTGCCTGAAAGGGTTTGGTCCACGCAAACAAGACGACGGCAACGGGCCATGGACTTCGAGTTTAAGATTTGTCTTGTCTCCGACAATCTACGGGAGGGGGGAGGGTTGGTCTCGGGGTGAGGAACACGCCAGTTCGGCCCAGGTTCTACGCTGCCCCATACCATAGCGACCGCGGGAGAAATGCTACACAACACAGGCAGGTAGACGTACCGGTTTGACGACTCGGCAGAATTAGTAGACAAGACGAGCAAGACGCGAAACCGGTCTACTTGACGAGACAGGTGCCAAACGCACTGAGTCGCCATTTTTTTTGCGATGTGCCACGTACCATGCATTCACCTTGTCTACACTGTGTGAGGGAGTTCGCCAGATAAAAACATGGGAAACGACATCCTAGGTCAGACGAGGCCGTTCACCAATTGCTAGATGCACAAGCCCGGCGCAACGTTCGGTGCAACACGTGTGATACGTTGAGGACTCATATCCCACCCACGTACCTGTAATTGCTAATCCCCTCCTGAAGTCTTGTTTTGTCCTCTCGATAGCGCTCCTCCAGCCAGCGGCAGCGCTGCTCGGCCCCCGAAAACTTTGTGTGAAGATTTGCTCGCTCGTCCTGCGGTCGAACGGGAAACAAGACAGGTGTACCCTTGTCTGGCTCAGCCGAAAGCGAGCGAACAACGGCACCGACGACTATGGACGAAAAATGGTATGAATGATACGGGCAGAACGCCCTTCTACATCCTGCACCGCAGGCTCACCACAGAATGTTTTTTTTCAAAAGAAAGGGGGCCAACATTTTCAATATACACGTCCCCCGCGCTGAGGGCGGTCGCCCTACGCTTTTCCATCGGCAACAGCGTGAAGTCGTGATATGCAACTCAGGACATTGTTTCGTTTCCCGGTACTCGCCTGCATGGATTGGAGGAGCGCCTCCACCTTGTTCGCATGCTCCTGGAGACCCGCGATCTTCTCGCGCGCCGCTCCTGAAGCAGCTGACCCTTTCTTTTGGACCCTACCGTGTTCGCCACCGCAAAGAGAACAATCCATCGAGGGGGAGGTTCGCGAGGATGTCTCACAGAACAACAACAGTGATGCCTTGTCAAAAGCACAACGTGCTGAGAGGATATCATGATCCCTGGTAATGGAAGAGCTCGCGGTGCGGTGCCTTGGGCACAACCAACAAGTCATGCACATGTTTGCTTTCACACATTGGCGCTTCTTTTCAGCGATTTTCAAATCGCTGTGGAGGAAAAATGCGGCATTTGTAGGTAGACACTTCGACTCAGCCGCTGATCGGAGGCAGTCGGAGGGGGCGGGAAGCCAGCCCCGTCCCTTCGAAGTTCTAGTTTCAGGATGTCATGGAATCCGCCAAGACACAAAGCAACGCGTATGGTGACAGCAGGAATTTTGATGGGGGGCACGATAACATATCACGCAGCCTTTGTTTTCATCCTATGTGTAGGGCTTGGAAAAGCGTTCACAATTTACTGGTACTGCTTGGCCCACTTGACTTCTTGGGGCCCATCTTTTTTCGACAATGTGCCACTCGGTCGGCACCCGCCGTCTCTCGGTTTTCTTACTTGTCAATCTCGGAGCCGTAAAGTTTTCCAGCCTGGCAAAATATCTCCCGCAGCTGCTCCGTATGCCGGTTGGTCGAGTGCTCTAGCATGAGGGCGGCATCCTGGCCGAAATGAAAGGAAGTAGTACGTTGCCCGACGGAAGACAGAAAACGTATTTCTAGCGAAGCTGGCTGTTCATGTGAACTTTGCGTCATGGGGGTTCAACGAGGCGTGTTTCGTTGACTGTGAGGGCGGCATCTTGGAACGGAAGTGAATGGAGGGGGGAGATCTATTCACGTTTTGAGCATCAGTCGTTTTATAGTTGGCGTCAAGAGAAAAAAACGGGTCGAACGGAGCTCTAACGTAAAACAACAGGAAGACAGCCACTAGATCTAGGTCTAGGGATCGGACGTGGAGCATAGAACGTAGTCTTCTCGAAGCAACAGGAACCTTACCGGTGAATGAGCAAGACGAAATGACAGAACATGTACCCATCTTCACTGGGTATAAGTACAACACATCAGGAACACGTGCACCCAACGACATCTTGTAGCGATTGGTAAACGAGTTACGTCTGTAACAACAACATGCGAATAAAGAGGACAACATAGCCACGAGAGGATACTGTATCTCATCCCCGCATCACTCTTTAACAGCTCTCACCCTTGCTTTTGCGAGGCCTGCCCCACAGGTAAGAAGAGCCGAACCACCAACCATTCAAACTTCACTACCGCCCCAGGAGAGTATGCCCCTCTCGTTCACCTGGCAGTCTGTCATGAGGGCCACCACCTCGTCTTCCAGCCCGGCTTCCGGCAGCATCGCCGCAATGGGGTTGATGTCCTCCGGCCTCGCTGTACCCGTAAACCTGTCCAGCCAGCCACGCAGCCCACCAAGCAGGTGGCTGCTTCTCTCTTGAGACTCCTCGAACCTCACCGCCGCCGCCGCGAGGTTCTCGTGAGACTGTGCCAGCGCCATCGCAACTCGCTCGTCGCGCGTCACCGCGCGCCCGGAGTCCCCGATATCGTTGCGCCACGCCGTGGCCCCGGATATCTCCAGCATTTTCGTGGGAGGGCGTTCGTGGGTCCCGCGCAGAGAGAACTTGCGCGCTGAGGTCGGGCGGGGGGGATAGGCAAAATCGGTAAGAGTTACCGGATTGTTTGTATCGTGCCTTCACGGTGCTCACACTTCTAAAACATAGGAGGAAAAACAATGGTGCCTGGTCGAATGCACAGCGCTCCATAATACGAATCCCAACAATCCTTCTCAGGTAGATCAGGTACAGGGTGGTTCCTGATGATCATATATCGTCGTATAGATAGCAGCAGCGATTGATGGAGAATCAATCCCCGTGCGTCGATTCAGTCACTCTACTGTACACATGGTCGTCTTTCAGCAAACCCAACCTGCCTGCGTAACTTGTACGTGTCTGTACGTCGCTCTACCTGCTTCTCTACGCTTGTCGATCACGGGGTTCGAGCTCCTTCGTTTCCTGCCTGGGTCCTTCTCGTCCAAGTCATCCTCTTCGATGTTGTCGAGAGTGTTGGTCGCTCTGACGTTCACTTCTTCCCACCGCTCGTCGATGGCTCGCACACGGCTCCTTGTAGTGCAGGGGATTTGGTAGTAGTCGTTGCCAAATAGCTCAAAAGTTCAACGTACACAACCCAACGTTTACAACCCATGAGATGATCCGGTGTATCCTTCTGTAAACGGGGATGTCGCTGTGGATGTAACACCCGACGTGTGCACCCACTCGAAGTGCACACACAATCGAATGAGAGGGGCGGCCGCTTTCTACCCACCGTGCAGTATATTCACCGTCTACGGGTCTTAATGTGAAGACAACAACAACAACAACAACAACAACAACAACAACAACAACAACAACCTTATTGTATTGCATAGAACTTCCGGTGCATCTCCTGGTGGGGGTCACCTGAGGGAGTGCGTGCTACACACACCAGTGATCGATAGCCGGAGTGTCTTGCAGCAGCTCCGTACCTGATCTCTTGCAGAGCATATTCCGTAGACGTGAGTTGTTTTCGGTTTTTCCGAGAGCTGATGTCTTGGAGCTCGTGGAAACCATCCGATAACGTGCTCACCGTCTCGGCACATCCAGCGTCAGCATCCTGACCGTCCCGACACAACCGGACCTGCTAGTCCGTCGACAAGCAACGGCGTTGCCAGGGCAAAAGAACGAGCCAAACAGAGGGAGGAGCAAACGAGCGAGTTCGGGTGGCAGGTACAAGAAGCAATCAACGAACGGTACGACGGGGGGCATGACTGCGGCTTACTCGTACAACGTCGTAAACTCACATTCTACCGGCAGACGACTCATCTTCGCCTGTGTACTGTAGTACATCTCGTCTACATATGTTAATCGCGAGCAGAGTAGAATTCAGAACCTGCCACAGTATGCCACTGCTGTACTGAGATTTTTCTTCTATGGCTGGCCTGTCCCCGTACATGGGTCTCGAGATGATTGAGGTCGTCCATAGCAGTAGAGGACATGGCTGGAGTTAGAAGCTCTCCGGAACGGCCTGCTCTTTTGTGCAGCGGTCTCTTCGCGCTGTGCATTGTGCTCGTGTGCGGCGTGCCTCCTCAACTGCGAAGAAAGAGGTGAGATCAACCTACTCTTCCACACCGCGCGCATCTCCTCGTCCCGTGTGTGCCGGGAGAGAAGCCGAAGAGAAGGAGATAGTTTTCGTTTGCAATAAAGGGTGTGCTGGAGCACTCCCGTGAGAATAAAGCTGGGTTGCCCTGATGGTCATGTGTGCGTGTGCGACGATTAAAGCGACGATCTCGGCGAAAATGAACGCGGGATGATCGCTTTCGGTTCGCGCCCGAACGCGATCGCTTTCGGTTCGCGCCCGAACGCCGCCGAAACCAACGAACACCCTCCTGTGAAATTGTGCCGCATTTCTGCGGATGCCGGGGTGTCTGGGTGTGTGCGGGCAAAACGTGAAACATGAAATATGGCTGGTGGCGGGAGGAATGGCACTAGCAACAACAACCGTGCTGTTGAAGCAAGATACCAGCCGAAGCACCCTTTCCTGTCAGGAGGAATTGCTGGGGGCCTCGAAATATGCTTGACTTTTCCATTCGAGTGAGTTCAACCGTTGTCAGAGCAGTGCCAACAGCGACACCACTGCTGTAGACTACGTCTAGACGGTAGCAGCGGGAGAGGGTTGGGGAGGTGGCGTATTGAGAGTGAGAGCAAGTATATTGCGGCCATATCCTTGATAGGTTGTGCAGTTTTGCGCGGGTCTGCAAGCTGCTCTGTGGTAAAATCCAAGTGTTCTCCTCGAACAACGCTTGGCGAACGAACAAATCAACGTTCCCACAAGAGTTGCGTGTCCCCATTTTCACACGTTCGTTTCCGCCTACCTGTCTCCCCACACAGGTATGTCAAGGTACAACTCCAGCTACAAGAGAAGGGTAAAGGCACGCCTCAATTCAAGGTGCGACTCTAGCAATTTAATACGAGAGATCACGAGGTGGCAACTAAAATCATCGGCCCGGTACCGAGAACATGTGTCAATGACCTGTGGCACCGCGCATCCCCGCCATGGACTGAAGCCCCTCTGTGGCCGCGTCTCATCCCGACCGACCATATCCACGTGGACTGTGGCCGCATCTTGCCTGAAACAGGGTGTGACCAAACATCAGCCTTGGCCAAAACATGCAGCGTATGTCAACCTGGGGTCACAGCTCAACATATCTGCCCCCAAAGGTCGTAGTTTGGGGAGGAACTGGTCCGTCCCATGTGTGCTATCTTAAGCTTGATTTTATATCTCTCACAATGGTCGATAATACCTCACGCACAGATGTGGTGCAAGTGATCCGAGTCGCAGCTCCAGCCGACTCCCGCGTAATGCTTACGCGTATGCATACCAGCAGCTTCTGCATCCTGGACTGTACGCTCCCGACACTCCAAGACAACGCAAGGTCAAACTACTCACGACAGATCAGGAGCGCTCTCCTCACCCTCGTTGGAATAGCTGATCCTACTCTTAACTTTTCTTCTCGTCCGTCACATTCGGCTGGTTTCTTCAGGGCCCCCTTCATTGTGCTACCCAGACTCTGCGACATAGCGGGATACTCGGCCTGTACGTTGGTCTCCCGCCGTGGCTTACGTTTGCCCTGCCCCGGTATGACCCACGGGCGCAAACAAGCACACTCCTGGTTTCCGGTACCTCTATGTGTATCTCGCTTGTATTCTCCCATAGGTGTTCGAAACTGCTTCCTGCCACAACCAAGCGTTCTCCTTCCCGAGAGTAGAGTAACGGAAGTCTACCGACAACACTAGCCGTGGTGGTGTCGTATGGCCAGTCTCCCATCCCATGCTTTCCAGCGACGAGAGACTCCTTCCCTGTTTCTTCTCTTGATTCGATCACGTGGCAACAGCAGGAAACATCACGCCGCTTGTTCGATACTTGTCGGCCTCCTCGAGTCTTTCAAAGAGCTTTTTAAGTCGTAAGAGTGATGTATGTATGAACTGTATGCGACTTCGCTGTGATACTGATATACACGACCCTATCCCTGCGTGCCACGATTGTCTGCAACCTCCAATACGTGTTCCCGCGCAATACCAGGTCCGCGATACGTTTCACCACGTTTGAGCGCGTCTCGGAGTGGCTGCAGGAGGGCCAGGGTAAACTTGACGCCGTCAATGCTCTCGCGGCAGGCACAGTGGCCGGCGCCATTGAGTCGGCCACCTGCCTCACTCCCCTCCAGAACATCCAGATCAAGATGATGCAGATGGACAGGTAGGATGAAAGCTGCTGGACTTACGTACGCAGGGTACCATAACGTTCGTCTTGAGAATCGAAACATCACATGAAACAACGTCGCGGTATAAGATGTGACATGTCAGGACTGCATCTTGCAAGTCCAGCTGTGTGAGCCTGGACTGTCCATGGACATCTTGGTGGGGACTCCGTAGTTCGCCCGTTGAATGGTCCACTGACGAGCACCGAGCCACCCTTGTGCGTCACCTCGTAGTTCTACACATTCCTCGTCGAAGTGGGCTGCTGCATTTTCCAACAATTTGTTTCAACCTGTCAAGCGCGCGCGCTGCAATCCTGCCGGAAACACGCGCTCCAATACAACGCTCACACCCCTATTCTCCCGTGTCCATTCCCTCTTCCGCAACGCTCGCAAACAACACACAATAAACGTTGATCAAACAAACACGAAAGAGGCTTCGTGTACGCCTTGGGCGAGATCCTCCGCCGAGAGGGGCTCAGGAACGGGTTCTTCAGTGGCCTGTGGCCGACGGTGGTGAAGGGCGCGGTGAACAACTGCATCCGGTTCGGCCTGTACAACGAGACGGCGGCGGCCCTCCGACGGTGAGCCCGCAGACACCCCGAACAGGTCACACCCGTCCGAAGGGTTCCGGTGCAACACCGATTTTCGATTCCGGTCTGGCTGTCCAAATAACAGACACCTCCCATGCAACGAGCGTTGATTTTTGCTCGTCTCGGCCCGGGAGGGTGGGTGAGCCGTGCAACTCACTCATGCCCTCACGTGGACAACTGGTGTGCCTAACCCGTTCTCTACGCGAGCTGACTCGGAATCGTTGCTCTCTTGTCGGGCGCGTACATCAACATTCGAAAGGTCCTGCGGAGACTCGCCCGACGAGGCGCTCGCTGCGGGAGCGGTGTTCGGTATTGGGGCGGCAGCTGGGGCTGTCAGCGCGGTGAGTTGAGACTACCGCGGACCTCATCAGGCCCCCCCTTTAGGCATCCCCGAAGTGCGTCCGAGATTGGATGCGTCTTACTGCGATGGGATGTGTGCGGGTTCTTCTGCGCCTGTTTTCGTTTCCATTCACGCTCTACCCAATTGTGCGGGTGGACCCCAATCCCGTCGTGTGCTGCTTGCTGTTTGCAAAAGGCTGGCTGTAATCAATCGCTTCCTCTCCGTTAACGTTCGCACATGTCCTGCTACCCAAACGGGCGGTAGCGCCGATCCGACCGTTCCGCTTGCGACGGGTCTTTTGTGGGCGCCCGCAGGTCGTGACGCATCCGATCGACACGGTCAAATCCAACCTTCAAGGCCTGTCCGCGGGCAAGTACTCGGGAAGCCTTGACTGCGCCAGGAAGATCATAGCGTCGTCTGGAGTAAGCGGTCTCTTCCGCGGGCTCTCCCCCCGAATATGCAGGTGTTTGTCTGTGGGTGAAGATTTTGGCTAGCTTCTTGGGTTGGTTCTGACGACGATCTTGTTGGATTTCGGTACCACCGTGCGTGTTGGTTTTTCGTTCGCATCTGGGGAATGTCTGCGCTGCACCCAACCCTGGAGTCGTGCACCACTTTTACAACCGGACCAGAAAATTGTAATGTCGTTGAAAATGACCCCATCTTTATCATATTTTGGGCACTTTCGCCTCGAAAACAAGTTCGTCTCGAGAAGAAATCGTTCCAAAAATGGCGGGAGGAGAGAGCAGCCGCACACTATGTACACCCCCGCACAGGAATGCAGGATGTAACCCCCCATGCTTTGGCGTTGAACGACAAATTTTGACGCCCTCCTTGCTGCTGCACGCCAATACTGAGTGAGGGTGCCTGGTACTACTTCCACTTTACTCCAGAGCCGGATCGCCGCTGTCGCCCACATCCGTCCCCGCCCCGCCCCCTGCGTCTTTGCTGATTTCTTCGTCTTGTGTTCGTGCTCAACAGGGTGTGCCTGGAGATCGGCCTACAGTTCAGCCTATACGACTCGATCTGCAGGTTTATGGATGATACCCTTGGTTGAACCACCAATTTAGTTGTGACTAGGTTTGCTGGGATGTTTTTGGAATATGGACGTTATTGACATGTTTTCTTTGGTGTTGAAATATCTATACAACGCTTGAGGTGGGCACATTTCCACGGGGGGAAGTCCTGGTAGGGTTCTGGCAATGATCCATGTCACGCCGTTTTCAGCAGGTATTTTGTTCGTCGTGTGCTTTTAAGGGTGTGCGTCAATTTTATGGTCTCGATCTGTGACCGTGCTTTCTTTTGTGCAAGCCGCCACACGTACGTCTGCTGGCAGCAAGTTGGCTGGATCTGTAGCATCCAACCGACATGTCTCATTCGTTGCTAGTAGCAGTACAAATAGCGATTCCACGTGGACCTCGTGCTGGACGGGTTGAAACGAATGTCAGCGTGGTTGTGGCGCCTTACAGCTCTTGGATGCATCATCTTTCTACAGCTGGTATAAAACATTGTTGCACAGGAGGTGGTGATTGCGTGAAACGTCGGGAGTAGACAGACAGAGAACTCTCCGCGCATCGCGCCTTGCTACCTCAAAACGTGTAGAGGTACAGACTAGATAATCACCCTCGAAAATATCTAGCGGAAAATACGATTCTCGAACCGAAAACTTGCAGACTCGCAGAACGCTTCTCTGCACCCGCAAGCGTTGCCGTGTCTCCGTGTGTCACGAAGATCTCCGTGTGTCACGAAGAAGACACGGTGATATACGCTTGGGCTCGACAAATCTAGCACAGATTAGGCCACCCGCGTTATGGTGGTTTACCAGTGTGTCATGTCGCTACGCCGTGTTGAAGCACGGTGCCTTCGATAAGTGTGTGCCCGTCCAGCGTTTCGGTCCTCGCGCCTGCACATCGTTCATGAGTTTCATGTTTGGAAACAAAGTCGAGAGGCACATGTTCGGTGCGGTGAGCAGAAAGTCCGGGTATTTACAGGGCGGCAGTCTTCGAAGGAGCCATCTTGTTAGCAGAAAGAGGGGCTGAAAACGCTGGCACCAGCCTTCGAACATATAGGTGGCCGTGTAAAGCACGAGTAAGTTCGTTCACCAAGCGGTTGCCAACAAAGGTTGAACTCCGAGCTAGAGAAGAAGAATGTACTCGCACCTCTGTTCGTGGGAAACAACCCGACATGAAGTGGTGCCAGCGATCTGTGCCTCGACCGAACAGGCGTGCCGCCTGGCCAACTCCCTGGGCAAGTGACCTCGTGTGCATCCCCCCGCCCGATGCGTTTTTTTCACTCCATTTCTCTCCTTTCGGCCGTCACTGGGCGCGTATATTGCCCCTTCCTCCGCGCGACCTGCACAGGTGCTTGTAATCTCCCGAGGATCGTCACATGTAATCAACGATTTTCCTCTAGAATCCGAGCGCGGAGATGAATGGAGTCCCTTCAGACGAACTCCTCTGTGTTCAGCAGGGACCGAAGGCCTCTGAACGACGTGGCTCAGCAGGCGATACCCCCCGTTGGTCCCGTCCAGCCCCTTCGCCACCAATCTGTGCAGCTCTTCCACCCTACGAAGGAGGTGCGAGCGGGGGGCGCAGGTGAAGCGCTGCCCCCTGCTGACGGCATATACGCAGCGGCAGTGAACCTTGCGCGGATTTCCCGGATGCAGGCGTTGTGTCAACCTAGTGGTACAAGTGGTATTAACACCTTTGTTTTCTCTCGTTAAAGCTGTGGGTACCTTCTTTACTCTCTTCTGAGCCTCGAGCGAAAGCCACCACCGCCATCCCCCCAAAGCGTCGCGCAGGTGCCGCGTACAGTAGGATTCCAACAGCCGACGGAGAGTGAACGCGGAGTGTGCGTTTTCCGCCAGAGCTAGGAGGCACTTACGGAGGAGCTGGGACCATTTATCGTGACAATTCCGTCGACAACGGCTGGTGAAGATTTCTAACCTCCAATGGCGTACGGCCGACGCCAAGACTCTCCGACCCCCCGCCCGGTGGAAAGCATCCATACGCGTCTTCCACCACTTTTGCCGCGCATGCCAACGCTTCATAGCTTCTTGAAGCCGACGGTTGTCGGACGCTGCGTTGAATCGACCGACCACCCACGCTTTCCAAACCTTCACTCCCAGCAAGGCCGCAGGTAGAGGGGGGGAGGCAATCTCAAGAGGTGGTGAAAGCAATCGCCCGGTTTCATGGGTCAATGGCAACCGTTTCACTTGCATGTATATCTATTTGTCATGAGCGATACATGTTTCATGAGGTCAAACACACCTTGGATAACAGAGCTCGCGAATGGTATATATCCGCCATCTCAAAGGTAGCCCGCCTCTCTAGCTCCCTCTTCCAGCGATGCAACGCTCCTCGCATCGCTAGGTGCTGCAGGAGCTTGAGGAAAACAGTGATCCTAGCAGCTTGCTTCCAGCGGCGGATGGCATGCCGGACGCTCAGCTTGTCGTAAAGACACCGCAATCTGGCTTCCCGGTGTGCCCACTTCCTCCATCGGCGCATAATCGTGAGAGCGAAATAACCCATAGCAACATACCCCTGTTTGTGTCCACAGCAGCGGCGTGTGTGATTGACGAGAGTTGCACAGGCAAGGGCATTCGTTGGAGTACGCACAGCCTTACTACTGTAGGAGCCGCACGGAGTCGTCTAATGTGTTCAACTGGCAGGTCCTTAAGGTGAGACAAACTACAGTAAATGTGGTCGATGTAGTCATTGCCACCTGATAGCGCTGCACGAACTGCCTGATCCCAGTCCAACTCAACCACTGCTACAATCGTTCTCCCGCCACGTGTAGCTGATCGCGCTCAAATCTGTGGAGCAAACGTTCCGTAACCTCTCATCCTGGTGATACCCTACAGAAGAGTGCCGTTGCTGCGGGCGTTCTGTTGTCACCTGTTCTCTTTCCTTCATCGTCTCTCTTCCTGTGCGGTCGTGGATGACCGAGCGGCAGTGCCATATCCAGCTAGGTACGTGCTCCGCATCACACCTTTCCAAACAGGAAGAGACGGTACTGGTTTTGGAGTGCGGCTCAGGAGAGCACAGTATCATCTATGGCCGGAACAGCAATTCAAACGCTGGTGTAAAGAGTAAAAAGGTGTGCCACGACAGCAGTATTTACGTACCTGCAGTATGGTCTAATAACCCTAACCCAAACCCTACAGTAAGTCTAGTCCAAAAGTTTGGGTTGGACAAGACTACAGCTGTAACTGTAGTGTAACAAAGTAGATGGTGTGTGGTCGGAACTTGTACGTTGTTGATCGATTCGAGCAAATAAGACAACCGGTTGTGGTTCTTTAGTTACGCAGCATGCGTATTGTAGTACATACAATCGTTGGGACAATCCCTAGGAAAAGCATTGACACAAAGAGGACAGGGAAACGGCAGCAACACACGTAGTCTATATCTCTAGCCTTACGTAGCCCATACACTTGGTGGCCAGAGGCGCAGGTTGGGCACGAACTACAACCTGGGGGGGGGAGGTTGGGAGGCCGAGTTCGACCTTGAACCCATTCTTTTTCAGGCTTGCAGCCCGCCGTGTTGATTGCAATAACCCCACTATCCAAGATGCGGGATACCCTGCACGCTGTGGGCTGCAACCTCTCTACAACCTCCCCCCCCAGGTTGTAGTTGGTGCCCCAACCTACGCACAACCTGCCTCTGGCCACCCGTGTACACCTACCTGTAGGAGTGGGAGGCGTACACAAGGGGCACCCCTTTATCGTTGTACTGCCGCACGCCAACGAGACGTCGTAAGCAGGGGCCACTAGCGGCTGCATACTTGTCTGCGGAGACTCTCGCTCCTACGTGAAGCAGCAGTACATCTTGGTAGCATTTGAAAGGAACACTTGTAGCCGATGGCGACGGCTCTTGACGCCGAGTCATCGATAGCGGCGCCGCTCGGCCCAGTTGTGCTGAAATAGCACACCATAAATGGGGACGTACACGAAGAGACGTGCAGCACATTTGAAGATGGCAAGCGCCCACAGCATCATTCCATTTAGCACACCGCCGCAAATGGTGCTCGGATCCGTTACGTCGGTGTGTGTGTGTTGCATCTACTGTACATGCCCACACCGCCGTGAAAAGATATTCTAGCGGGGCTGTCTAAGTTTCAGCCAGCAGAATGCAAACTTCATTGACAAACCTGTGCATGCATCGAGCTGAACCAATAAGCTAGACGACCCTGAGCTGGCCTCTGCAAGTGTCTCGGATGTTGGAGCGGAAAGACTCGACACATGATCGCCCCAAAGATCGGGGCACACGCTGACAGGGGGGTATACATATCTTGGATATATGTACGTACACCACCAAAGGTTCTGCAACTCACGGCGCCCCCTTCGCCGAGGGCAGTGCAGCGTGCATATAGCAGCGTGGCGTTGGGTGTGCTGTGTGGCAGTCATCGGAGCGGTTGCCCTGCTGCTCGTCCAAAGGTGTGCAATGCCGCAGCCGCACTTTTCGCAATCGACGGGCAAGCCAACGAGCGAGGAGGAGCTTGCAGTTCCGCAGTGCTGAGAGTATCTCCGTATCTCCGAAACATGCAGAAGGCGGGTATGCATAGCGGCGGTTGCCACCGCCTATGCCTCTGGCACTCGGGAGCGCTCCGGGGGTTGGTGCTCCTTCTCCTGGCTCTGATGGTGGTGTCGTCCGAAAGAAGTTGTTGCTACCCTTTCCCGATGCAGCAGGCTTTCGTGGCGCCAGCAGCTAGGCCGCCTGGATTGGGGCCTGCTTGTGATCATCAGCAGGGGTTGCAACGCCAACGCCGGCGTACCGCCGGCACTCCTCCTGCAGGCCGGAAGGTGAAAAGAAGATAGGGGGGCGGAGGGGGACGTGTCGTCGTCGTGTGCAATTTTTGTTGCAGCTGACAGGCGTAACACGTGCCGGTGGTGATGTAGCTGAGATGAAGGACGGCAGTGGCCGAAGTGGTGTAAACGGGCAGCAGTGATGCCAGTTTTTTTAGAGAGTTCGCCAACGCACTTGAACGCTACCCACGTACAATAGTTGTCGGCACGTGGCTTGGGTGGGGATTGTATGCATATGCACAGGAGTTGACGCACCTCTACTACGCGGTCAGTTCCCCCCCTCGCCAGCGCTCCGGTGTGTTTCGTGCAGCAGCGGAGAGGCTTCAACCCTTAAGGTTTGGCTACCAGACGAGAGCATGCTCCTTGCACACTGCTGCTCGATGTACAGCGGCAGTTGTGCATGTTCAAGAACAGCCGCCAGCTGTAATTGTGCGTTTTCGGATTCAACGGAGTAGTAGCGCCTCTTCTACTACTGTCGACACAGCAGTTTCGCCAAAGAAACTCGACCTCTTGCCTTGACCCAGATCTACCCTCTGACACATATGACACGACAAAAAACTATATTGAAACATCATCGACCAGGTCTCGTGAGGTATGCATACGACCGACGAATGCGGTCATCAGCAGACCACACCACAAAATAATCGATTGTTGCTGTCACCTGGTTGGCCTTCCCAGCTGGACGCTGGTAGTATGAGTGCAACTCAACCTGTGTTGCAGTACTGCTGTAGCAACAGCAAACGGGTGCGGCGGCAGGGCAACTGGCGGAAAGCTGCTCTTCAAGACGTGTTTTCCCCTGTGTCTGTGTCTGTGTCCGCCCTCGAACCCTAACCCTCTCGTGCTGCCGCCGCCAAACCACGAAACCCTTTCCCCCCCCCTGCACGGCCGTGTTTGGTTCTTGGCTCGTGTCTCGTTTACAGCTGCTGCTGGCGCCACTTGTCGGTGCGAACGGGGGGCACGATTCGCTAAGGCAGTCTCAACCGCACTCCTGCACCGAAAGCAGCAGCCGTAGCAGCAGCCGCCCGTCGTGTTGGAGCGTGGCGGGCCCAAAACCCTGGGCTGGTGTTGGCACGACTAGACAGGCGCCGTCGTTGGTGGTAGCCGCCGCCACACCCCAAGGAAACGAGGGTGGGGGGGCGAGGCTCGGGGGGGAGCGGCGATGGCGACGGAGGGCCGGGGGGGTAACGGAGCGGCACGGAGATCAACGGGTGACGTGTGGAAGGGAGTGGCATCGGCTGGCTGCCGTTGGGACGGAAGGGGGTGGTGGTGGTGATGGGGAGAAGAAGGGGTCTGAGGGTGGGGTGGACGCTGTCGGGGAGGATGCGGCGGCTGATGTGGGTGGGGCCGTGGAGGAAGGGAACGAGAAGGGTGACGGCTGGGTCAAGAGGAGGTGAGCGAGGAGCTTTGGGAGGGGAGAGCGTGTGTTCGGGGGCTGCAGTCGTGTGCTTTGGCTCTCTGTGTATGGATTGTTTTACGCACGAACGTTGTGAGGACGCGGGTGTGGCAACCGATCCCAGTCTTATCCTGTGGTCCCGGAAAAGGAAGTGAGGAACAGGGGGTTGAAGAACAGGGTGAGGCCGCGGGATGGGCGGGGGGGGGGAGTGTACTCTTATATTATGCATGCCTTAGCGGTTAGACCATTGACCACGCGTCCTCGAGAGGACAGTGCATTGTTCCCACAGGACCGATCACCGATGGCCAATCGTTCCTTCCTACTTTGCCAAAGGTGGCTCAAAAATGTCTTCCCTAGTCTGTCTATCCTAACGATATCCCTTCCCGCCTTTTCAAACCACTTCCTACTCCCGAGTACAGCTACCGTCCTCTCCTCTCTCTTCCATGCCGCAAACATCTCCCTGTACCTCCCTTCTATTTATTCCAGCCCAGTCATGTACATTTCCCTCTCCTCTTCGTACCACGGATATTCTGCGACTACATGAACACGGTCTTCGCATTCGAAGCCGCGATCACATTTGAACTTGTCGTCTTCGTCGTCTACCGTCCTATGTCTTCGTCGACGTTCTCGAAGGCCTATGTCCCCGGTCCTGAATTTGACCTTAAGCGTTGTCCCTGCATCCATTGGTCCATGTAGGTAATCCTTGAACCCTATTCCTTCTTTCAACATTCCGTACACTTCTAGACCCTCCTTATCCTCGGTTTCTTTCCTTAGATTCTGTTCTTCTCTCTCGGCACAAGCAACAAATATCTTCTCCTTGAACCCCTGTAGACCCTCCGTTTCCAGCGTTTCATCTTCGTCGATGTCGAGCCCCTTCTATACGTCCTCTACAACCTTGACCCATTCCGTGGGTTGTCTACCCCTCTTTTTGTTTGCCAACTTCGCCTCCCAAACTATTCTCGGCAACCTCTCCTCTCCCATCCCGCACATTCGATACTGCCATGTCAGCTTCCTTGCGTCTCTTCCCGACCGTAGGGATTGGATCCCCAATTCTGCCCTGACGGCTGCATTACTTGTGCGCTTGGAGCATCCTAGGATGATTTTCGCTGTTTTCATCTGCGCCGCCTCGAGTTCTTTGACTACCTTCTTATTTCCTTCCCATACTTCTCCGGCGTACCCTAGCGGCGGTACGATTACGCTCTTCAAAACCGTCAATTTGATGCGTGTATCGAGGTGCCGGTTTGCGAGTATTGGGTGCAGCTTCCCTGCTCGTGCTTTGCCGTTTTCCGCTACCTTGGACATGTGTGCATTCCACGAGCAGTCTTTTGCGATCTCTACTCCGAGGTATGTGTACTGGTCCACTACTGCAATCTCCTCGATCCCCCACTTCCATCTATGTTCTACTGGTTCCTCCCTGTCCTCGTTGCATACCATGACGGCTGGGCGGGGGGGCGGGGGGTGTACTCATAGTCGTGCATGCCGTAGTCGTTAGACCATTGACCTCGCATCCCTACAAAGCCGGGACGGAGCACGCCGGGTTCTCACCGGACCAGGCTCTCACATCACCAAGCGCGAAGCGCCGTGAGGTATTCGGCGAGTCGCATGAAGGGTGAGCTGCATCCTGCTAAGGGTGTTTGGCATCTTGTGCTTACTTCCTTGCGTACGGATGACAGCTGCGTATGACTTAATTTATTTTCTGGTGCTTTCACTTCCAGAGACAGTTATAAGCACTGTGTAACTGTCTCGAGGATGCTTGACCATTTTAACACAACGTGGTGCGATCATCCCCCTTGCGCGGAGTGAGGGTTCTCCACCCCGCACAACATGATCTACTCGACCACCATTATGGTTACCGCCAAAAAAAAAAAACAGAGGAAAAAAAAAAACGGTAACCTGGTTGCCGAGTTCACGAAGTGAATTGGCTTGTTTTACAACGTCGTTGCCAATCGACGAAAACCCAATCCCGATGGCAAACACCGAGGGGGGGGCTTGTTTTACAACGTCGTTGCCAAGCGACGAAAACCCAACCCCGATGGCAAACACCGGGCGGGAGGCTGGGCGGGGGGGGGGGGGGCAAAGGAAACAACCCCCCAAAAGGAAAAAAAAAAAAGGCATCTGAAAAACAGGCCCACCAAAAAGGGGGCCGGGTAAAAAAACCAAAAAAAAACACAAATGCCTAAAAACAGGTCTTCAAAAAAAGGCTAGGCCCAACATGAAAAAAAGGGAAACATGAAAAAACCCCGGCCCTTGCTGATGGCTGTTTTCCCTTCCCCGGGGCCCGAAAACCTTCAACCCGTCCCCAAAATGGGACCCCATATCAAACCTACCCTTGGTGTGTTCAGTCCCGTCAATTCTCGGTATCAAAACCAGGAATTCCCCGGCAAATGAAGTGCTGTAGGCCGCGGTCACCCTGTGTGACTTCTCGCAGAGCTACATAGGTCGTCGTCAAGACACCGCGCAAAGCACAGCACACACATGTCCACACCCTGTATTTTCCTACCTGCGCCTACCCACCCTGTTGCCAACGTTTTTAAATTCCCGATGCTCTATGGGGGTGATGTTAAGAAGGCATGTAACTCTGTGGCCCCGGACAGGAGTTATCGGTTGACGCTAGAACGAAGAGCATGTAGGTGGCAACTC